TCTAGAGATAAGCACATGAATATCCTACTCTAGCATACATAGACATATGGGTTGAATAGAATAGTTAATTGGAAGCATTAAACCATACAAACCATGAAATAATAAAGATTTATATATACATGAATATCAAGATGTATCATACAACACTAATCCCTCAATAATACACAAGATTAGAGTATAGAAAGCATGCTTAGGGCTAACTCTAGCCCCAAGAAGATGTCTAGCCACTCATGGTAGTGATGATCCAACCCTCAAGGGCTAACTCCATGGCTGCTCCTTGTAGATAAAGATCTCCTCCAATGGTTGCTCTAGCTTCCTCCCTTCTTCCTCTCCAAGAATAGCCTCCAAGATGATTTTCAATGTGTGACAAGAGACTCTAGACTCCTCCCCAAAAAGTGTATCATATTCCTTATATAGGTAGGTCAAATACACCCTATGATGAGCTGTGGTCGTGTAAGGCATATTCTCCAATGATTGGGTGAAGAACGGAATAAATGAGTTGGACTTTAACTTTTTCTCGCTGGAGGAAGTTCGATCGATCGAACCTTAACTTGGATCGATCGAAGATAGGTTCGATCGATCGAACTGCATCTTGGATTGATCGAAGTGGTCTGACTCCTCCGGATAAGGACAAGGCTGAGATATTTCGAAGATATTTATGGGGAAAAGGACAAAAGTGGTTGGTAGGCGTACAGCTGTGGATAAGATCAATCATTTGAATAGGACAAAATAGGGTTCGATCGATCGAAGGTGATGTTGGATCGATCGAACTTGGAATTTCAGTAAAGGCCAAGGTTGGATCTATCGAGAAGTACTGTGATCGATCATAAATGTTTGATCGATCGAACTCTAAGTTGGATCGATCGAACTTTTCAGCTGCACAACTTTGATTCCTTTTTGCTCCTTTCTTTCTCCACTTTGCTCCCTCCTTTGGTTTATCTCAGGATTGCTTCAATTAAGCTCTTATTTGGTTGAGTTAGCTCAATTTTGGGATTAGTGCCTGAAAATATAAATAACACGTAATAAGTCTAAAGCGGCAAAGTAAGATAGATAAAGATACTAGAATGCTTAAGCTTAACGGGTTTAAATGCGCACTTTTCAGTGCTCATCAATAATAACCCCTCTCAAAGGAGTGATGAAACTAGCATGGTTATATTTAGATAATATATATATATATATATATATATATATATATATATATATATTGTATTAATTATTCCTATGGAGAGAATTGTTTATGAATCTCGATGATATAAACCTCTCAATGAAAGTTAGAGGTTAGAAAAAATAGATGCAGCATTATTCATGATATGCCGATAATGACTACCACTATTTACAATACATTTTACTAGAGAAAGAAATGAAGGATTCTTAGTTTAGTTTTTAAAGATTATTCTTATTATTTTTGCACAATGTGTAGAGAACCAATGACAACAAATTTCAAAAATCTGCACTCGTCAATGGAGTGTGGTTTCTAAATATAAAGTTGAATCGGAATCATTGGATGTTAATGCATTCACATGGGGGATTAAGTCTGCAAAAGCCAGCTGTTATATCTCCTATATGAGGTTGTTGCCAATTTGAATCAATAAAACCTCGATAATGAAAAATAACATACTTTCAGGGGAATCAATCAAACCTTTAACCAAAATCGAAACTCTGAGGCAAACAAAGAAAGCGAAAAGCAACAAGTATGAACTATGGTTTCTAAAAAGAAAGTTGAATCGGATCGGAATCAGTGGGTGTTAATGCATTCCACTGGGGGTTTAAGTGTGCCAGACGTGAATCGTGATATCTCATATTTGAGGCTATTGCAATCAATAAATCCTCGTTGATGAAAAATGAAATACTTTCTAGGGAATTAATCAATCCTTTAACCAAAATTGAAACTATGAGGCAAACAAAGATAGCAAGAGGGGTTAAGTTTCTGAAGAACCTAAGTTACCACCTCTTCCACCATGAAACCACCCCTTCCACCACCTCCTCGCCAGCCACAGAACCATCTGAAACCACCATTTCAACCAAGTAAGATTAACAAACCCAATCACTCACAAATAAGACTACCCACTACAACAAAGCATTTAACAGATAGCAAACATTCACAGATACCAAACCCAAAGTTAGCCCCAGCAACACTCCCTGTTTCTACAAAGGCCTACCCAAAAGACAACCCCTCTCCTCCTTTACCACCAAAAAAACCAGTGAAACCACTCACGATTCCTCCTTCATTCAAGTCTGCACTTTCTCCTAAGACTGTCAAGGATACCTTGGAGCACCGTTTGCCTCGTTCTCCCTCAGTTTCAAGTTTCACAAAGGAAAAAGGTCAGGCTTGCACTACAAAATGACAGGTTTCTTAATCCAAATGGGCTAGAGGTTAACGATGTGGTTCTCCTCCCTGAAGGTATTGATGCTGCTCTCATGAATGCCTCCAAGTTCGAGCTTATCTAAGAGGTTTCAAGACTCAAGTCCCTTCTCCAAGAGAAAGAAATGAAATTTCACAAAGCTAATGATATGATCAAGGATCTTCTCAAACTGAAAGAGTCAAAGCTTGCCTCAGTCAAGAAAAGATTAAGTATGCTGCTTACACCCTTGGGTGCTGTTGAGAAGCTCAGAAATAACCCCTCATGCATTGAAGAACCGAGATTGCACACTGAAATCTCACTGCGGGATAAGGAAATGCTAGTTGAAAGGATGAATGATGTCCACGTGCCACCTCCCGCGGGTCATGTTGACAATTTTCTTGGCTTCCAACACATTTTAAATTCAAACATGGCCTTGACTATGACTGATGCCTGCACAACTACAACTTCTGCAGCTTTTCACCAACCAAGTCAACCTCAGCAGCTAGTCTGGCAATCACAACTACCCACAATCCAACTGGACCCAACTTCAAGCCAACTAATCCAATTACCACCTCGTTAGTCCCCAACCAAACAACACTTATCCAGTTCAGCTCCAACGACTATGCAGCGAACCAAACTACCACTATCCCAAATGAACCTACTCTGAATGTTTCTCATCTAGAAAATAGACTCCATGAAGATGTTAACGTTGCTGACAAGTTCAATTTAGTTGATGATCATGGGAACCAAAGCTGGGCCGCAGTAGCAAAATCTTCTTCAGGGGGATGGAACTTTGAGTATTTTGAACCAACAGTCGACAATGACTGCATTGTAGGGGAGCCAACAGAAGAAATTTGGGAAGAGGGTGAAAGTTACTAGAAGAGCTGCTTGTTGGGAACCTTCACAAAGAAAATGCCATTCAGGACAATTGATAGAATTACTCACAAAATCTGGGGTCGCAGAGGGCTACTTAAGATAGTGGTTAATAGGGAAGGCACCTACTTACTTCAAATTTGACAAGCGAGAGAATTGAAGATCAATCCTTAAGCGTAGACAATGGACTATTGCAGGTATGCCAATTAATGTTAAACTGTGGCAAGATGATAATGACACTCATTCCTCTGATTTGGATGATAAACTTTCAATTTGGGTTAAACTTTTCAATGTTCCTTACAATCTCTGGTCCTCAAAAGGACTCAGTTACATTGCTAGTGCAATTGGAAATCCCCTCTTTGCTGATACCAACACACAATCTAGAGATAGACTAGTCTTTGCTAAGGTGTGTGTGGAGGTTACCCCCTCATCCCATTTTCCTTCCTCAGTTCATGTACGAAATAAGGAGAACAAAATGGAATCTGTCAAGGTTCATTACCCTTGGATGCCACTCATCTATACTGATTGTGTCTCATTTGGCCACAGCACCACCTCCTGCAGTAGACAACCTACTAGAGGCAATGAATTATGTGTGAATGCTTCTCATGGCAATGCCAATCTTTCTCAATCACAACAGTAACAGATGGTCACAAGGAAAAAGAAGAAGCAACAATCTCATTGCTTGCCCATACCAAATCCATTCTCACCTAACAACTGTGGACAACAGCATGAGGCTTCCACATCTAATACCATTCAACAGCTTGCCAATGACATTATCAACTTTCCCAACTCTGGGGATTCATGTAGAGTTGATATTCCACCAAATGAGGCTGTTGCCACCACTGATTTCTCTGCTCACCATACCAGTGTTGAATTGGAACAAGCTGCTCATTTGTCTCCAACGGTACAGTCTGAAGCTACACAAAAATTAAGATTGTTTGTGGATTTGTCCTGTCATAACATGGTGATCACAGAAGATGGTAGCCCTCCTACACAACCTACACAACCTATACACACTTTTAACTCCTTCCTAGCCCTGGCACAAGTTCAAGAGGATGAGGTTGTTTTGGATAGTAATGCTGCTGTTGAATCCAGTGACAATGAAGGGAAATCATAATCCAATTGTAAATATGAACCTCATGATCCCACTTTTTCTCCTATCCTTGACAAAGCACTCAAGACTAGGAAACCATCTCAGGGTAAACACTCAAAAATCAGTAGAAAGGTAAAGCTATCAAAGCCCTTTTTGGCCAATGTTTCTACCCTTAAGGGGTTTAGGGGGTTGTGTAAGCTTACTAGTTCATCTCAATGAACTGGGGGGCATGGGATATTAGGGGGCTGAACTCTCCCCTCAAACAAGTAGAGGTTAAAAAGTTGATTATTGATAATGATCTTAGTCTCTTGGCTCTTTTGGAGACTAAAGTTGGAAGTGATAATATGGAGGACATCCGCAAGTCTCTTGCCCCTTCATGGCATATCAAATGTAACTACTCTCATTCTGTTTTGGGTTGAGTATGGGTGTTATGGAACCCAAATAGAATCCAGCCAATAGACACCTCTCAGAATAGTCAAGTTATTAATTGCACAATTTGGATCAATGATTTGAAGATGAAGTGTCTAACATCATTTATCTATGCAGCAAACACTGCTGGTGAAAGAATGCAGCTTTGGAGAAGTATTAACCAACACAGTGATCCTGAAACCCCATGAATACTTCTTGATGACTTCAATGTCTTACTTAATATCAATGAAACATTTGGAGGGGCTCCTAGATGGACTCAGGGTATGGTTGACTTCAATAACTGTCTACACAGGAATGGTTTAGAGGACTTGAGATACTCTGGCACCTACTTTACTTGGACTAACAGTAGCTTTGGCTGTGCCAACATTTCAAGGAAGCTGGACAGGGTTTTAATCAACCAAGCTTGGATGGCTGTCTTCCCCAAGGCTACTTGTGAATTTTTACCACATGGTATATCTGACCACTCACCAATGGTGGTTAAGTTTGGTTCACAATCTTCCAAGAGAAACCTCCCCTTTAGGTTCTTTAATTTTTAGACACTAAATGAGAAGTTTCTGGACATTGTTCATCAAGGATGGAGTATTCATTTTCGAGGCATAAAAATGTTCTCTGTGGTGCAAAGGCTGAGAGCTTTGAAAGGTCCCTTGAAAACACTTAATAGGAAGGAATTTGGAGCTATTTCCAGAAAAGTTACTGCCTGCAAAGAGGAATTGGAACATTGCCAAAGAAGCCTTGATCTTAATCCTGCTGATGATTTACTAAGAGTCAATGAAAGGGACTTAGCAAGCAAATATTCAGAATTGTGTTTGGCTGAGGAAATGTTTTATAAACAGAAAGCTCAAGTCCATTGGTTGAAAGTTGGGGATCAAAACACTGCCTACTTCATGAGGGCTTTCTTATCCAAGTCCAATAAGAGGAAAATTGTTGCAATTGAGGATCCAAATGGTACCTCAGTACAAGGACAGGAACTGCAGAATGAGTTTTTGAGGCACTTTCAAGAGTTGCTTGGACAAAGTTATAACCAGTATCCAGTTATGAATTCCTTCTCTGATCTATTCACCAAGGTAGTTCCATCTCATTTACTATCTCAGCTCACTGCAATACCATCTGACTTGGAAATTAAGAATTGCATCCTATCTTTTCACCCTTACAAAAGCCCTGGACCTGATGGCTTCAATTCTTGCTTCTTCAAACATACTTGGCTAGGTGACTGCTGCAATTAAGGATTTTTTTCATATCTGGTAGAATGCTCTCTAACATTAACTGTTCTTACATAGCACTTGTCCCCAAAAAGCCAAACCCCTCTACTGTGAATGATTTCAGACCAATTTCATGTTGTAACATCCTTTATAAATGCATATCTAAGCTTATAGCCTCAAAGCTAAGTACTGCCCTTCCCTTCCTTATCTCCCCCTCACAGAATACATTTATAAAAGATAGGCAAATTCTAACAACATTTTGATGGCTCATGAGCTCCTTAATGGATATCACAAATTATCCCACTCACCTTGCAGTACACTCAAGATTGATTTGAAAAAAGCCTTTGATTCACTACACTGGCAGTTTATCATTGACTTACTGCACCAATTTGGCTTTCCCAATTAGCTCATTCATTGGATTGAACAATGTATCACAACTCCCTCTTATTCCATCTCAATGAATGGGGAACTCTTTGGGTTTTTCAAGGGTAGAAAAGGCATAAGACAAGGGGATCCAATTTCACCATTGTTGTTTGTCTTGGCAATGAAAGTCCTCTCTCTTGTTATTTCAAAGTCTATCTCTCTGAATCCAACTTTTAAATACCACTGGAGGTGCAGTAAATTGGGCATTACACATCTTGCATTTGCTGATGACATCCTTCTTTTCTCCTATGGTAATGTTGCTTCAGTTGAGGTGCTGTTTTCTGCCTTAAACAAATTCTTACACATTTCTGGGCTGTCAATTAATTGCACAAAGAGTCAGGTGTTCTTTGCTGGGATGGATTCACAGACTAGGGCAAACATTTTATCTCTCCTGCAGTTTGAGGTTGGAAGTCTGCCAATTACTTACCTTAGTTTGCCCTTATCCTCTTTAGATATCAATGCGACTGATTGTCAAACCTTGGTGAATAGAATCACAAAGAGAATTACAATGTGGACTTCAAGATTCTTATCTTATGCTGGTAGAGCAGTGCTAATTAGATCCATACTCTAATCCATTTAAGCCTACTGGACACAAGCTTTCATACTGCCGCAAAAAGTTATTGATCAAATCAACCAAGTAATTAGAAGCTTCTACTATTCTGGAATTGAACTAAAGAAGGAGGGTGCAAAGGTTGCTTGGATTGCTATTTGTAAACCTAAAGGCAATAGTGGGTTGGGTTTTCCTTGCTTAGAGTTAACAAACAGGGTCTCAAGCCTCAAACACATTTGGAAGTTGTGTGCTAGGAAAGACTCCTTGTGGGTTGCTTGGACTCACAGGTACCTCATCAAGGATAGAAGTTTTTGGACTGTCAAATCTTCAGCATTAAGCTCTGGATTCTGGAGAAGACTCTTAAAGCTAAGGGACATGGCAAGGGGTTTAATCAGGCACAAGATTGGCTCAGGTCTGAATACAAGTTTGTGGATTGATTATTGGCTTCCTAATGGACCTATATCATCTCAACTCAATCTTACTGAAGTGGAAATTCTTTAACTGGACTGCCAAGTCAAAGTTGATAGCCTAATTTCCAATTTTCAGTGGATGATCCTTCCCTCTTTTCAGCAAAATCCATTCTTCCAGTCTCAATCATTCATTTCTCAGCTCAACAGCACACTCACACCTTCACCAACATCAGACCTGATTCAGTGGTTACCTAGTGCCTAGCAAGGCTACTCTCACAAACTTACCATGAAATACTTCACTCCATCTTCATTCTTGTTTGCATGGCACCATATTGTTTGGCTTAAGCACCATATCCCAAAACATGGTCATATAGTTTGGATAGCCATTAAGAATAGACTCTACACACTGGACTCAAAACCCATAAGAAATAAGCATATAACAAATGCTTGCTTTCTGTGTTTGGCTGATTAGGAGTCATTGGATCACCTCTTTTTTAAATGCAGTTATACCTGTGCCATTTGGAATTTCATTCAAAATGTTGCAGGTTTCTATATTTTGCCAAGTTGCTAGTCTGAATTGATTGACTGGTGCTCAAAGCTCTGGAAACATGGTGACTTTACTATTCATAAACTGTTATTGTCAGTGGCAATTTATTTCATTTGGCAGGAAAAGAACTCAAGAGCATTTAGAAACAAGTCATCCCCTCCTCACATCCTCATCAGAACAATCAGAAATTGCGTTAGGGCAAGACTTGCCTCAATCAAGTTGAGAAGAAGTGAAGACTTAAGGAGAGTAGACACAATGGAGGAGCTCCAACAGCTATTTCAACAAGGCTGTGTTGTTTCCCTCTGACAACATGACCATTTACTTTGTGTTGTGCTCCAACCAAGCTAATTGGCACGCTGGAAGATTTCCAACAGATATAGATATCCCACCAAGGTTGTGATGATGTTTCCCTTGGTCTGCCAGTTCTTTTTGTTATTGCAGCCCAACTATTAGCTGAAGGTGGATACTTTGCATATGGTCCGTTTATAGTTTATGGTTGCTAATTATGTCTCTGCTAATTTCTGGCTTTGAGTTCAAGTACTCAAGGTTTACAAGTTGATTTCTGTTTCATTATGTGGCAATGGCTTCTGTCTTTGCCCTTTTGTTATTGTAAAAGTTCCTGTAGCTCTGTGGTCTTTGTTGTACAGTTTTTCTTTATTTATAAAAGCTTACCCATTCAAAAAATAAAAATAAAAAAATAAGTATGGAGGGGTTAAGTTTGCAAAAGCCAGCCGTGATATCTACTTAATCATTTTGAGTACCTATTTATTAAAAAACAACCGATAACAATAATCATAATTGAAACAACTGTAAAAACTTATCAATCAATCATCAGAAGAATGACCCCTTAAACATACAAACCACTAGAAAAACTCTTCCAGAAGCAGCAAATAGTAATCACTAAACAAAAAACAAAACAAAACCGAACTTACACCAAAACTAACAGAAACAACAAGAATAATATATATATATATATATAGATGCACACACACACACACACACACACACATATATATATATGGCCAAACCTCCTCTGTGTTCTGTTTTGTGTGTGTGCGCATCTATATATATATATATGTGTGTGTGCGCACACACACACACACATATATATATATATAGATGCGCACACACACAAAACAGAACACAGAGGAGGTTTGGCAACAATAAGTAATCTCCTCTCTTAAATTCAATCATCAATTATAATAATTGTTAAAGAGAATTTGACAGAGGAAGTATGGCGACAATTTATATATAGTAATCTCATCAATAATTAGAATCATGAACTTTATCCAGGTCTATATTTTGCATTTAAGAATTATAAAGGCAAGAAAAAAGTCACAATGCAAAACAAAAAATCTAAAACACGATAATAATAATTTAAAACAACGCATGCTCAGTGTGTGTAAATATACATAAATGTGTATGTGTGTGTATTTGGGTAGATGAAGAGATATTATTAGGGTTCGACCTGGATGCCATTTCAAGTTTTTATGAACAGATGAGAAAAATAATTCCAAAACGACGAGATCTGAAAAAATAAGAAGAGGAAGACAAAAGTCAAAATATAGATCAAAGGTAGGTAGACAAAATTCATAATATAGATAGATTAAAGGTTGCATTAGTCGAATTATAAATCCATAAACGACCAATAAATCTGTTTCTTTGCTACATTAAAACACAATCATCCAATAATCTAAACTCTTAAATAAATCAAACCCAAAAACGAAAAGGTGACTATACTAATTTACTCAAGTTTTCAGTAAACAAACAAAAGAGTTGAAATGAAACAGAATATTAAAACATTCATCAAAACGATATAAAACAAACTATAACACAAAAAAAATGAAAATAACACTACGTAAAAAAAAATAAATAAATAGTATCGGATTGAAGAATGGTAGTAGCAGCAGCAGCAAATTACCTATGCAACGAATGACTTGACCTGCTGACTAATGAATGATTGATACACTTTTGTAAAGAAAAATGTGCTATTTATAATGTGAGACAGAACGAGAATTCCCAGGCATTGTCAAATTACCATATATAAAAAAAATGAAAAAAATATAAATATATAGAAGGTGATTTTTTTTTTTTTTTTTTTTTGGAGTAAGTAATAAATATGGACGGTTTTCAACTTGGTCCACAAGTAAAAATGTTTGTCCTTTGATTTAATTGTAGGGCTAGTAAAACACATGTGCGATACATGTGATAAAAAATTATTTTATAATATTAATTAAAAAATAACTCAAGCATAGGAAAATAACTTGAATGAGAAGAGGAAAAAGGATAGCAAGGCTCCGAGTCTACAAAACAATTGAAATGTCGGTCTACGAAAGAAATGCAAAAGTCGGAAATTCCTAGGAATTCAAGCTTGGCAGATCATACAAGCAACATACAAAGGTGGAAAAAAATAAAAACCGTTTATCTTCAAACCTTACTAAGATCAACTCAATGTGTAAAGATTGACTCTGACATCAATTGTGAGTTGTGCGGCGAAATAGGTCATGGAAAGTTGAGTTTTAAAAACAGTTTTTGAAGGGATTAATAAGTTTTTTTTTATCCAATTCTACTCTACTAAATTACCGGTTAATTGGTCAATCACAAATAAATTAAAAACAAGTAAAATTTAGAATGATACCGGATTTTAGTGAGGAAACCAATTGAAAAATCTTGAGGTATTGTGCGCTATCTCAAGCCTAAAACAATCTACTATGTGTGAAACAAAGTACGTCGAACTTTAATCAACTCAAATCCCATTACTTTACCAAGACTCAATCCGATGAAAACTCCTGACTTTGCAACTTTTCGTCCAATAACTCTCAACTTCAGACTTACGCCACAACTCTTGTAAAAAAATTGTAGGTACGTCAACAACACTCAGATATGCATCACCCTCAATTGGTCGGGAGATGTTGGATATCAATGTCAACTACTTCAAAAATTATTAATTTTCATTGTAGTCTTTATAATATACTCTGTGAAACGTATATGGTCAAGCAAAAAAGCATCAGTTTCAGTTGATCGACAAACCAATGGGAATGTATATATTATTGTCTTCTGTATAGTACATGTGGTTAGATGAACATATTCTATTCGGTTTGGTGCACCTAATGTTACAGTCAACTAACTAAATGATAAAGAAAAAATAATAATAATTCAAAACTCTGTCGAAACAAGTCCTACTGTTAATTACTTAGAGAACATACTAAACGTGGCACATTTGTTTAATATATACTAGTACTCCGTGTTAGAGTATTGCATTCCTCCATTGTTGGTGCCTTGGTGGAGAAGAGACAGGGATAGGATTTGTTTTATAATTATTTATTGTGCTGCTATTAGATATATTGAATAAGAAAACTTTACTTCTGTTTTTCTTTTTCCGTCTACCCAAGCCCAATGACATAAAATTCTTATATTGTTCATGTGTGGTGGTGATTTTTCTCTCTCTTCTATCTTGTATTATTTTTCATTCATAACTCTTGGCACGCGAGGGTAATATGATATGATATGATATGATATATATATATATATATATATATATATATATATATTGACTAAGAATTGTTTTATAGTCTGCATGCGCTAGAAATGAGATTCCTTTCCAAGAACTTACGAAGCGATTATCGTGACCTTATATATATACATACATCCATTGATACATATGCCAACATCATCTAGATATATAGCATCACAGCTTACTAAGATGGATCCTAAGAAAACCATGAAAGAAACCATCAAACCATCGTCTCCAACTCCTAGTCATCTCAAGACTCACAACCTCTCTTTGTTGGATCAGTTCTCTCCACATAAATATCTCCCTTTGCTTCTCTTCTACCCCAATAACGGCTATGATAGCCCACGCATTAATATCAATGAAAAATCTCGTCGGCTCAAGACCTCTCTCTCTCGAGCCCTAACCAAATACTATCCTTTTGCCGGAAGGCTTTCAATTAATGGAGTCTCCATCGACTGTAATGACGAAGGGGTTGATTTCTATGAAGTCCATATCGATTGTGAACTATCCAAAATCCTCGAAAAACCTGACCCTGAGACACTTGATCTATTCTATCCCCAAGGTGTACCATTCAGTGACTCATACAATGCTAGTCTAGTGGTACTTCAAGTCACCTTTTTCGAATGTGGAGGTATGGCGGTCGCAACGTGCTTTTCGCACAAGATCGCCGATGGAGCCACCGCATGCTCCTTCATCAGCGATTGGGCCGCCGTGACAGCTTGTCAATCGGCTGAAAATGTAGTGTTTCCTAAGTTCATTTCAGGAATTGTCTCTCAGCCCAATGAACCACCGTTAGGGACAGAGTTTCAGCTACAGATGGGAAACTCTGTCACCGCCAGAAGGTACGTGTTCAGTAGCTCGAAGATAATGGAGCTCAAGGCAATGGTAGTCGACTCAGGAGTGCCCAAACCCACCCGGGTTGAAGTGGTGTCCACATTTATCTTCAAACTCGTCATGTCTGCCCGTAGGGCAAATTCCGGGTCCTCAAGGCCATCGCTTCTAGTCCAGTATGTGAATTTGCGCCCCGGACTTTCCCCTCCACTACCCAAAAATTCAGCTGGAAACTTTTCTTGGGTTTCCTCGATAATGGCTAAAGATGAGAGCGAAAAAGACTTGGGTGCACTGGTGGGTGCAATGAAGAAAGGGATGGCACAATTTAGCGACAAGTATTTGAAAAATCTTTCACCGACCGAGTGCTACTCTTCAATATGTGATGTCCTCAAAGAGGTCAAGATGGTAATGAACAACAATGATATTATGGATATATTCACTTGTAGCAGCTTGTGCGGGTACCCATTTCGCGAAATGAATTTTGGGTGGGGAGCGCCTACATGGGTTGGTTTTTCTAGCATCAAGAACAATAACTCAATTCTTTTGCTCGATGCAAAAGAGGGTGGTGTAGAAGCTTGGATTACTTTGGAAGAAAAAGATATGGCAGCATTAGAATGTGATGAAGAACTCCTTGCATTTGCTTCTTTGAATGTGATGAAAAACTCTTTGCATTCGCGTCTTTGAATGTGATGAAGGACTCCTTGCATACGCTTCTTTGAATCCGAGCTCTTTAATAATGTGCCTTTCAAAATTAAGCGCGTTCAATTCTTCTCGTTTAATAAAGTGCCTTTTAAAAATTAAAACAAAGAGCTAGATAGTACAAAATTTTCTATATTTTCTTCATGCAAATTCAAAACAATTGGGTTTTTCTTATTCCTCAATAGTTACAATGGAGAAAATTATGAATCTATGATTATTAGAACAGCAATGTAAAGGTGCTTCTGAAATCAATATATGAAATTTTTTGTTCTATAAATCGAATAATTAGCTTGTGTATGATTAAGTGTGGGCATGCCCGAATCAAGTCTAAAGGAGCGAATGAGATCCTAAGGAAGACGTTTTAGTCTAAAAGAAGGCATAAATAAGAGCCTATAAACACCCCAGTTTCCCCTCCCTCTTCACATTATTAACCACATGACCCCTGAGATGGAACAACACTACCTTCTCTCGAGACCAGTTATCAGTAGGGCCCACACACAGCCTAAAACTAAAAATTTGACTGTCTGATCAGACAGCACCACCACAAGACATATCCACTTATTGAAATTCCAACATTTGGTATCAAAATGGTACAAAACCTCAGGAAGCACTTAGATCCGCCACATCACAGAATTTCCGGCACTTGACCACCAATTCTCCGAAAAGGAAAAAAATTGGGATTTTACGTTACAACTCCCCAATCTGATTGTCAGAATGGAGAATGGATTCCACCATTACGTCCAAAATACTCAAAAATTCTAAAGTGTAACCCACCTGTATATCTCTACCCTTTTCCATCACCAATTTGACCAAACATTTTAGGAGGACCCGAATGGTCAATCACGAATAGTCAATCCCAAATTTGACTTTTGACACCAATGGTCAGACTAACCCAAGGACCTCACCATTGGCAGGCCAAAAAAAACTTTAAAACCACGGTAAGATTGCATACCTTTAAGCCCAGGCCCACCTTTGACCAAGTCTTTACAATAGGAGTCAAATGGTCAACTCAAATGTTTGACTTTTCAAACAAAGAGCCAAATGGACAAAAGGACATCACCATTATGTTTAGAAAGCCCAAAAACCTTAGAAACCATTATAATATTAGTTGTGCTCGAGTCTAGGGACCCTTTGACCAAAATTCCACTCCTAAGGGCAAATCAGTCATTTCACCATTGTGTAGAGATTTTCCAGACCTCACAACAAGAAAATATATATATATATATATACATGATATCATATGTGTTGCATCATCCTAATGACAAAATTTTTAAAAATTTGCTTAAAAAAAAAAAAAAATTTGGCAAAATTACAATTTTTCAAAGTCCAGGAGCAAAATAGAGATTTCTCCCCTGAAAACTTGAAAAGGGATTTCTCAAACACTTCCTTTGTCATTACATTGCTTCCTTGCTTTTCCTTTGATATTGTGCTCATTTCTTATTTATCTAACTTAGCTTACAACTTCATAAATTATTTTTATCTTTGGCATTTACACCTAGATAAAATTTGTATTTATCTTGTTAGTTAAATCTCAAATAAAATTTCGTATAAATATTTATATGTTCATAAGATTTGTATTTTATCCTATTAGTTACAACTTGATTGTGATGACCCGGTCATTTTCCTTCCTTTCCTTTTTTCTCAAATTTTACGGATAAATTTTTTTCGTTGAATTTTCTTTTCTGTGTTTGGTTTCTCATCACTTAGTGTCGTCTTGAGTGCTTGGAAATGATTTCCGAAACTCTTTCCTTTGGATTGATAACTTCCTTAAAGGACAACGTCATAATGTCATTTTCAAATTTCTAGACACTATTCACTTTTTGTTTTTTTCCACGTTTGTCACTTTTTTGGCACAACCTCACTTTTCGTGTTCGGAATTGGTTTTTGACTTCACGTACCTTCATTCTAAGTGGCTTCCATGAAATACGTATCTTTACTTTTGTAGAAAAGTACTCTGGTTATTCCCAGTGTCCATAGGGGTATGGATGCAAAGTTCTTCGAAAACATTTTTGTTTCTTGGGGTATTTTTTGTAAATATCTTTTGAAGATATTTTATTTCAGGAATCTTTAAGAAAATATTTTTGGAAGATATTTTCATTCTAGGTCATAAATGCATTAACCCTTTTTGGATGGTCCATTGTGCAATTAACGAAAGTTATTGCAAAAATGCCTCGTTTTGAGCCTGGATCCTCGTACAGGATTCATTTTCATTTTTCATTGAGTCACGTACTCTTAGAATTGTCTTCTGGTCGTTTTTTCCCAATTTTAGAGTTTCTAACCCCGGTTACCGCCGAACTTGTTTGAGGTATATCTCTCTACTCGAGACTCTGTTTTTGATGCCGTTTCTTCTGTTGTTCATTTTTTTTTATCATTTTGGTTCTTTTTTGTTCACGGAGTTTTGCTGTTTGAGCGCGTCTGCTTAAATTCCACTTTTCCGGACCTGTTCGGGGCACTTTTTGAGTTTTTCTATAAATAGGGGGTCTTAAATGAAAAAATCAGATTTCTCCATCTCTCTCCCCTATCTTGGCCAGATTCCATGGGCTGCCACATTCTCTCTCCTTTTTTGAACCTCCTCGCTTTAGTGAAACGCGGTAGTGCCTTAGTGTTTAATGTTCACCTTGGCGAGGCCTTCGATTCCAACCGATTAGAATCCCGTTTTGGCCATTTTTTGAGTTCAGGTTTGAGGCCAAGTTTGGATTTTGGTGTGACCTCCTTAGGGTTTAATGATCACCATGTTGTTCCCGACAAAACCCCGAAGTTTCAAAGGATTTGGAACGGTTTCATTTCGGTGGAGATTTGAGATTTTCATCTCAAATTGAGGTAGGAGATGTCTTAGGTTCATTTAAATGTTGTATTGATGATTTTAGAAGTTTATACAACTTGTATGCATGTTTTAGTTCAAGTTCTAGAATTCAATTTAATTATTTTCCATGTTTAAAATTTAATTCTCATGATACTATACAACTTAGAATTAAATTGTGGCATGTTAGTAAATTTGGCCTTGGTATGTTTGTTAACATATATTAAATTGGGATTATTTGAATAAGAATTACAACTTTTATTTAAAAAATTTCTTTTATGAAAGTTTAATTCACATGGTTGTAACTTGCATGAAATCCATTTGTAATGTGATATTAAAATAGGCCTCAGTGTGCTCTTTAACCTATGTTAATTTAAGAGCATTTCGATGAGTTTGAAAATCTAAAGATTTTAATTAAAAGAATTAATTAAAATCTGTTTAATAGTTCTATTGGCTTAATTAAGTTTTTAATTTGACATTTGTAATGACTATGACTTGTTTACTAGCATATATTAACTTGGGACCATTTGGAGTGGTTTTAGAATCTAGAGATTTAATTATCGTATTTTAATTAAATCATATTTTGTTGTTTCAATGGCCTATTTTAGTTTTTGAGTTGGTTTGTGTAATGACCATGCTATGTTGTTTAACATATGTAAATTAGGGATTATTTGGTTGAGATTTAAAACCCAGAAAAATTAATTAGTTTATTTAATTAATTTTCATTTTTATTGCATTAATGATTTAATCATGTATTTGACGTTGGTTGTATGTTTAAATCATGATTTTGGACTTATATTAGATTCATGAGTTTATGTTTTCAACGTTGAGTGATATTGTTATAGCGTGTAACGAATCGCACACTGAAGATTCGACATGTGATGTTATTATAGCGTGTAAAGAATCGCACTCTGAAAATTCGACATTTATCATGCCATAATAGTTGCGGACTTAGAGCATGTATTTTATGTGTTTCCAAATTCGGCTGTGTATGGTAGATAGTTGATTACCTTGTATATACATGTTGATATATACGTTATTGCACAACTTGTTGATTTTGAAAACTTGGGACGTCGTTGTATGACTATAGCTAGGGCATGGTTCTAGTACAGGGGATTGTCCCCCTATAGTCTAGTGTGCACATAGGGAGGTTACCCGTGGGCTAGTAACCACGTTGTCGGTCTAATCCAGCGTAATGTTTGAGTATTCACCTTGTTTGATTTTGCATTTCATTTCAAGTTGATAATTAGATGATGTTGTAACTTGTTGTTCCTCTTTGATTTCCCATTTTAAATTTCAAGGTGTTAACTTTGAGAAATCATGCTTTAAGCATTGTATTGGAAGTTCCAATGTTAGTTAAATTGCATCGATATAGTTATTTGTGTTTTATTATTCTAATGTAGCCTAGGATGATTCCTTAGACTCATTTGGAACATAGATGCTAGGTGGCATGAACCACTTTAGTTGATTTCGTATCTTAGATTTCAAGTTAATGATTTTGAGGACCTATGTAATGACCCGGTCATTTTCCTTCCTTTCCTTTTCCTCAGATTTTCACGGATATTTTTTTTCTGTTAATCTTTTCCTTTCCAAGCTCAGTTTCTCATCACTTAGTGTTATCTCGAGTGCTCTGGAATGATTTCCGAGACTCTTTTCCTTGGATTGACAACTTCCTTCGAAGACCACATCATTTCCACATTTTCATTTTTCAGACACTATTCATTTCGTTATTTTTCCTATTTCATCATTTTCCTTATTTGTCTTTTCCCCGTTTGTCACTTTTTGGCTTAACCATACTTATTATGTTCGGAGTTGGTTTTTGACTTCATGTATCTTCATTCTAAGTGGTTTCCATGAAATACGTATCTTTACTTTTGCAAAAAGATACTCTAGTTGCCCCAGTATCCATAGGTGCATGCATGCAAGGTTCTTTGACAACTTATTCTTTTCTTGGGGTGTTTTTCATAAATATCTTTTAAAGATATTTTATTTCAAAGGTTTCTAAGAAAATTTTTTGGAAAGATATTTTCATTCTGGGCCAATTGTGCAGTTTTCACTTTTTGGAGGGGCCATTGTGCAATTAATGAAAGTTATTGTTAAATGCCTTATTTTGAGCCTAGATCCTCTTACGGGATTCATTTTCACTTTTCGTTGAGTCGTGTACTCTTAGAATTTCCTTCTGGTT